TGGTTTACCCAGTGAAATTTCTTTCCTAGCACAGTAAACACCTTTGCAGTTGATCCTAAAACTACCACTATAAACCTACTGCTGGACTCCCCTTTAGACCAGCACTGCCAGAATAAAATTCCAACCCAGGGAAGTAAGACCTAGGGCCCTCCAGACACTGCTAGACTAAGTCCCATCTTCCCTGTCCACTGGCTGATGCAAGTAGCAGCTCAAAGCATCTCAACACTTCTAAATGAGTTCCACTCTCTCAAAATCATGGCTTAAGATCATTCAATTATGGCCAGACACAACAACAACAACAATTATTTCTATACTGCCCTTCATCTGAGGATCACAGGGCGGTTTACGATATTAAAACACAAAAATGCACAGCATAAAAGCAAACATCTGAAAATAAAGTTCCAAATCAAAGGTTAAACTTCACTTTCAAAGTGAACTAAAAGAGCCCCCAAACCCTGCAAAGATCACAGGCTCTCAAGTTGCTTTGTCTACCTCACAATATTTGACCTTTAAAGACAAAGAAGAAGAAGAAGAACCAAGATTGTTACAAATACTGGCCTTTGAATAACAGATTGTCAAGAAAGTGCCTGGGAGAAATACTCTAAAATTACTTCTTCGGGGATGGCTGTGTCAGGTACCTAGAACAGAGATTTTGAGGAGGAGCATCAAAGCCAAACTGCATCATACACATGCCTCTAAGCGTTCATGGAAGTCACATTTAAGTGTATTTCTGTTAGCAACCAGTTCCTCGTAGTTCCTACTGATCTTAAGAAGAAGACTAGCAGCCTATTGCATCTGGGCCAGTAGCCCATCTAATTCTTCATTAACCGGCAATAGCTCTCCAGGTTTTTCAGAGAGGACTCTTTCCCAGTCCTCCCTGGAGATGCTGGCGACTGAAGTTGGGACCTTCTGGAGGAAAAGCATGTGCTACAGTCCTTCAACCTTGCATGATGAAAGCACGCAAATTATTGCTTTTAAAACTCAAACCTAAACATGGCAACTCAGGCCTAAGCCCATGCGAGGATTACAACTGTAAAGAAATTCAAGCAAAGCTGGCATGGCACAGATCTGGGGGCTAGGTACACAGAAAACTCTGGCGAGCATGGGCACTTAAGAAACATAAGTTCAATGGTAACACTCGAGACATATACATACTGGAAGGATCATTTCCTTCCAGCAGCAGCATGGACTCTGTGTCCAGTCCTTTGCAGAAATACTACTACAGAACAACCTTGACCCAGAAATGTCTGAATTCCCAACGGTGAAAGAATAAGCCTTATTTGATGTTCTACCACAGATCTGGAACGCTGAGCAAAAGACTCTCTACACTCCCCAAAAAACAAACCCTTGACAAACATATAAATTGTCTGGAGGAATTCATAATATGTAAGGCCACTGAAAGCATTAGTTGTAGAAAATGTTCCAGGCAAGTCTGAGGAAGCCTCCCTCTCTTTTACTTATTTCAAATATAAAGATAACCCAGCCTCTCAATACAGAAACCAGGACATACATGAACATATACATACAAACACACACTTAAGAGTCCATACAGAGTCCATACAGTGGTACCTCGGGTTAAGTACTTAATTCGTTCTGGAGGTCCGTACTTAACCTGAAACTGTTCTTAACCTGAAGCACCACTTTAGCTAATGGGGCCTCCTGCTGCCACCGTGCCGCTGGAGCACAATTCCTGTTCTCATCCTGAAGCAAAGTTCTTAACCCGAGGTACTATTTCTGTGTTAGCAGAGTCTGTAACCTGAAGCTTATGTAACCTGAAGCGTATGTAACCCGAGGTACCACTGTACTTGCAAAGATGGCTTCCATAGTCTCTAGCTCTTCCTAGCTATCTATATTCAAGCAGTCATGTTCAGGAAAACATGATTTAAACTTAGTGACCTAAGAGGAAGAATGCAGTGGCAAATGCCTGTAATTCTAGAAGCAGAGGCTGGTGGATTGCTTGAGCTCAGGAGTTCGGGGCTGCTGTGGGCTATGCCGATCAGGTGTCCGCACTAAGTTCAGCATCAATAGTGTGCTCCAAAGGATGCCATTTCTGAAAGTTACCCATTGCCAAGAGTAAAAGCCATCCTAACGATGTTACATTCTTGGGCGGCTTGACCAGGTACCACAGCTATCCCATGAATAACATGGATATCCCATGAATAACAGCATGGACAGCCCTTCCTGTTGCCATGTTGGCTCTAGATCAAAAGCTTGGCAACCTGTGGCCTTAGGCCTCATTTCATGCAGCCCTTGGCCCAGTTTCAAAATGCCTCTGCAATTGATCAGGACTGCTGGCAAGAGTGATTTGTCCCTCCCTTGGCAACCTACTGGCCAGGTATGAAGAGGAAGACAGAGAGGGAGAGAAGGACGGAAGGAGAGACAGAGACAGAGAGAGACAGAGAAATGGGTGGCAGAGAGAAAGAGAAGGAGTGGCCTGTCCAATTTGTCCTCTAGCCCCAACCATTGCTGGCTTTGGCTCCTGATGATTACCCTCAAAGGAATAGACTGATTTCACAAAGTTAAGTTAAGCTAAGCTAAGCAGATATATAGCAGATATATAATGTTTAATTATTAAGATACAAAAATACAATCTCAATAATAAAGTTATAAAATAATAACAAGGGAGTCATGCACGGATGGAGAGAAGACACAGGGCAAGAAATAAGAAATGGATAAATGTTGGTACATAATGAAATGTGAAAATGTGAATTTACGAATATAATGCATATGTATCATTATGTAAAGATTTCATATATGTATTGCAACATTAATAATAAATAAATAAAAGGAATTTTCTCCCAGAGAAAAATGGCTGCCTAGCTATCCTCTAGATCAGTGGTTCCCCACCTCTTTTGGCCATGCCCCACCTAAGCATCTCTAAAATCCTGATGTCCACCCCCCCCCGGTGACATATAATTCTTATTATTCAAAAAGTGGACTCCTATTCACGTGGAGGGAACCTAAAAAGCCATTCACTGTTAATAACTCATTCTCGAATTAAAGGTAAAGGTACCCCTGCCCGTACGGGCCAGTCTTGACAGACTCTAGGGTTGTGCGCCCATCTCACTCAAGAGGCCGGGGGCCAGCGCTGTCCGGAGACACTTCCAGGTCACGTGGCCAGCGTGACATCGCTGCTCTGGCGAGCCAGAGCCGCACACGGAAACGCCGTTTACCTTCCCGCTAGTAAGCGGTCCCTATTTATCTACTTGCACCCGGGGGTGCTTTCGAACTGCTAGGTTGGCAGGCGCTGGGACCGAACAACGGGAGCGCACCCCGCCACGGGGATTCGAACCACCAACCTTTCAATCTGCAAGCCCTAGGCGCTGAGGCTTTTACCCACAGCGCCACCCGCGTCCCTATATTCTCAAATTACCCCCCCCCAAAATCAAATTGCCCCCCTGTGGGGCATGTGCCCTACGTTGACAACCACAGCTCTAAATGATACCGTGGGTCTTCTGTCAGGTGCGATTTTAATGGACTTTTCCACTTATCCAATGAAAGCTTAATATTTTTTAAGCTACCTGATGTGGAGGAGGAAGCAAGGGCAGATTACAGGAAACAGTCCATTACAATTTCCCAGGAAATTTTCACTGCCCTTGCTTAACCATGCTCCAAATTATATACTTAGCACATTTATTCCATTAATCCGCTGAAAATGTGAGTATTTGTGATAGGCTTTAGAAGCTGTGGAGGAGAAAGAAAGGACAGTGCAAGGATGTCTATGAAATCAGAGTATCCAGCCTTATGAGTCCATTAAATCAGGACTAGGTTAGATGTAGGCCTTGCCCTGTCTAGTTTTTTCTTTCTTTTTTACTAAAATCTTCATGGTCTATCAATGTGCAATGCAAGAATACACACCCAGGATCTACTGCCATCTCTACAAAATACCATCAATATGACTGGCATTTCACAAAGTATAAGTGGAGGGAGAGAAGAGATGAAGGCAGCAGCACTGTATACTGTATATTGCTTCAGTTGCACACACTTAAACTTAGTTGCCGTGGCGCATGGGGAGGTTAAGGAATGGCTAATCAGTGCTATGCGCTCCTGAGAGTACATTATTGCTGAAAAAAGTGCCTTGCTTGCTCAGACCAGGGCCCATCAATTCCAGCATGCTTTGCAAGAATCCCAGCAGGCCTTGGGGGCCTAGAAATTGGCCCAGTGGTTTCCCAGTGAACCATGATCTACCGTCACATTTCCATATTTACTCAAATGTAATGGACACCTTTTTTGGCTAAATTATGTCATGAAAATTAGGTTACGCATTAGCTTTGATGCCCCATTTACATTCGCCAGCAAATACTTTTTTGGTTTCAAGGTTCTGAAAATGGAGGTGCGCGTCAGATTCGATGGTGCATTAGATTCATGTAAATACAGTATATCCCATTTTTAGGTTCTCTGCAATGCTGATTGCTTCAACTTTTCCTAAAGTTGAAGACCAAAGCTAATGCACATAAACACTTCTCCTTCTACGCCCAAGCATCTTTTTCTATGATTTCCAAGCAAAAAATTAGCAGCAAAAGCAGAATGATACCTTCAACAAGTCACCTAAAATTACATCTTTGGCCTCCTCTGATTCCCCAGTCCTGCATACACAGCATCCCACCACCACCAATTCCTCTTCGTGCCCCAGCGTCAGCTATTTTATCCTCAAGTTTACACACATTAAGATAAACACCCATACACTTTCTTTTTATTCTTTGGTCTCACAGGCACAGCGGATCAAAGCAGCCAGCGAATGGGAAGCTGTGCTCATATGAACAGGCGGAATTAAGACGCGGGAGTTGGGGGGGGGGGAGGGAGAGAAGGAAGGAACCGGAGTTTAAAATCCCCAAATCGAATCCATCTGGAAGCCAAAGCCGGAGGGGAGCGCGCTCTTCGGGTGCGGACGCGCACGCCGCACGCGCGCACACAAACTCGAAACACGGAGGGGCAGGATTGGGGTGCGGGGTGGGGGTCAGAAATATAAAAATCTAGGTATTTTATTTGTTTGCTTTTACCTTGGAGGTTTTGGACTCTGATGTCGCTGATCTGTCCGATCAGCTCCTCCCGCTGAAACCAGTCCCATTCGTTCCCAGCCATGAAGGAGCGAGGCAGAAGTGGCGATGGAAACGCCGCGGCTGCAAAAGCGGGGGTACCCCTCTCCGTGAGCTCTCTCTCTCTCCCCCTTCTCCGAAAGCGCACTCGGGCGGAGGCAGGATGGGGGGGAGAGAGGGAGAGCAAAACGAGGAGAGAGAGAAGGAGGAGGGAGAGAGAGAGAGAGAGAGAGAGAGAGAGAGAGAGAGCGCAACCGGCAGGGGAGCGATGGGAGGGAGCAGGAACTGCTTGGCCAGAAGAGTTTGGGGAGGGGGGGAGGCGTTCAAAGCCACTGAGCAGACACAGGAGGGGTATAGGGAGGGTGGGTCCGAAAAAAAACACTAGACCTCACATTTACGCACAGGAAAAGGGCAGTACGCGGAGAGGAGAGGGATGCAGAAGGTATAGGGAGGGGGCTGGCTGGAGAGGGACCCGGAGCCTCTTCTGGACGCGAAGGAAAGCCCCGCGCTCTCCCCAACTCTTCCCACCCCCTTCCCGGTGGGTTCAAGTTTTTAAAGGACGGAGGTGAAGCCTGAGGATTCTCGGTTGCATATTGTGATGTTTCGCACAGAGGCGACGCAGCCGCTGGTTTGAGTGAGGAAACAGCCGCCGCGCAGAAATGCGCACACAAACACCACCTGGTTAATGTTTACTGGAGAGCAAGACGCGTAACGCTGGCGCCGGCCACCCATTCACACGCCTCTCTCTCTAGGCCAACGTCAGCCTCGCCTCCTCTGCTCTCTTTTTTTTTCTGGCCAAGAGGATAAAAAAACAATCGCCATCTGATTAATCATTTTTTTTCCAATTGCCAATTGGTGGGTGGGAGGGAGGCAGGAAAGAAGGAAGGAAGGAAAAGAGGGAGGGGACGGGGGAGGTCTCCAAATCTCTGGGGAAAGCAAGCAGATATTCTGGTTAGCGCGACCGTCCCCTCTGCCGGTAGCAAGAGCAGCAGCAGCAGCAGCCCCCGTTTGCAAAATGAAGACATGAGACCAAGCTCTGCATTCCTGCTTGGGGATTTCAAACCGTGTGTGTGTGGCGGAGAGGAAAGGAAAGCAGCGCAGGGGGGGGGGGGAGGGAGGAGATCCGTATCACCCGAGCAGAAAAAAAGGGAGGAGAAAAAAGGAGAGAGAGAGAGCGCAGGAGGGACGGGAGGAGGAGCAAAACCCTCCAACCTGTACGTTCCGGGGGCATCCAGGACTCAAGGAAAAATAAACAATGCAAATTTTTTAAATGCCCAGAAGAAGAATTTGGGCAGACTGGTTAATTTATACGAGGGCTTCTTCCGGTCCTACCGTCTGCCAGTAACAAGCTGCAACAGGAGAGAGAGAGAGAGAGAGCTCTTTTCTTCAGGTTCTTGTATACAGTAGTTTCTCGCCTCCAACCATCTCATTTAGCGCTGGATGGGTTCCAGATCCGTTTGCCAGTTGAGTGTTTCTCAATATGCGATACTCGATAAATAGCTTTGTGGTCTAGCATAGGGCACGTGCTCAGCCGATTTCATGTTTCACGTGGGAGCAGGTTGGAAAAATTATTTACGCAGGGATCGAATTTGGGAGGCGACTCGCACGTTTGGGGCGCTTCTGAACCGGAGGGTCTCTCCGGATGATGGCCTTGTTATTTTAAGGAATGCAAAACCAGTGCTTTTTCTCCCCTGGGGGTACTCACAGGTACGCAGTACTGGGCTACCGGCACCTTTTTTTCCTTGGAAGAAATTTATTGCAGGCAATCCAAATGCATTTCTTCCGGATAGCAACAAGGAAATGGTGTTTCTTGACCAGGATTCAAAAGTGCAATTTGGCCAGTTTGCAAAATCTTCCCTACTAGCACCAGTAGTGCTGTTGGGAGAGCTTGGGAAGATGGTCCTAGGTGCCCATAAACATCACAGAGGGCAAGTGACACATTCTGCTCCCCCTCTTGCTTTTTAATGTTGCCAGATCTCTGGATCTGATCCAAAGTTTTCAGGTTTGGACCTCCTTTTCTATGTCATCAAGGAGAAGGAGCTAAACCTCTGGATGACTGGAAGAACAAGGATAGCCATAGGTATTTGTGTGAGACAGTGCACACCGTGGTGGGTACTGGGAGATGACAGAAGCAGGTACCTTGGTGAGCTGAGATCAGCCTCAGCTGGAGCCACAATAGCAGGGTGAGCATGTATCTTACTTTACAGAATGGCTTTCTATTTGAAGAACTGTTGGAGGACAAACCTCAATCTGAAGGGCTGTTCAGTCCAAGGGACCCCAAAAAGGGAGAACAAAGGGGTCCTTAAGGTTGCCCACTAATGGTTAGAAGTTCCACAGCAGGCACACAAGTCACACGGCCATAGACTCTGTCTGTATTTAAAATATTTGCATCTTTACATATCAGCTAGCTTATGCAAGTAGATAAATAGGTACCGCTCCGGTGGGAAGGTAAACGGTGTTTCCGTGTGCTGCTCTGGTTCACCAGAAGCAACTTAGTCATGCTGGCCACATGACCCGGAAGCTGTATGCGGACAAAAGCCAGCTCCCTCGGCCTATAAAGCGAGATGAGTGCACAACCCCAGAGTTGTCCACAACTGGACCTAACAGTCAGGGGTACCTTTACCTTTAGCATATGCAATTTTATGCAAATACATTTATTTTTTGGCCAGGCATTTCTTCTTTTTAAAAAATGTGTAAGTGGCTCTGTACCCTATAGTGAGTTCCTACTTTGCTCAGCCTTTCTCTGTTTCTTCTCTGCCTTTGTCATGTCAGAGGTGACTGGGAGTTGGTCCCACATCATAAGCCGTCTCCCCCTATTCAGAGAAACACAGCACTCGATGTGTCTTACGTGCAACAAACTCTGTGGCTTAGTGCCATTATACTGTCGGGCTCCAAAAACTGATTTTACCCCACAGGCCAGCTAAATTTTCTACTGGGGCATCCAGTTCCTTCACCCCTTTGAAAATCATCGTGAACTTTGGGCGAAAGCAGAAGCTGATGGTAAAAATCCTCAAAATGACCTGCTTCGTTTTTGCTGCCAGAAATGCATACAAACTAACTGGCCGGCCAAGTGATTCTCCTGCAACAGACACAAGGAAAAAGCTCTGTGTGGGTGGGTAGGTTATCAGAGCCTCTGCTAATTATGATGTGAAGAAAGAGCACTGCTCTCCTGATGCAACTGCCTTCTTTAAGCAAATATGGAGGAGGTTATCCCATAGAGAAATGATGATACGCCCCCTCCCAAAAAAATAATTCCTGAGCTGTTAAATAAGTAATGGCCACTAGTAATTGAAATAAATATTTAATTATGCACTTTATAGCTTTTCCATCTTGCCTGTGTGCTTAATACATGGGCAAGTGCAATAAAGATACGTGCGGCACGATCTTCCGCATGCATGTTGACTCAGATGTAAAACCCACTGAGATTAGCATGGATCGCTGTAGCTTGGTGGTGGAGCATCTGCTTTGTATTGCAAATGCTCCTGAGTTCAGTGGCATCTCCAGGCAAGGCTGGCGAAAGGTCAGTGTGCCTTGGCTGAAAGTATTATAGCTGCTATCGTGGTTCAGATAACATGCTGAGTCACATATTAGCACTTTCCCTCATACAGGGCTCCCTCGGCAATCTCGGGACACATGGTTAGTATTCTATAGATCCATAGATTGTTGTGATTCCAAATGGATCTCTGTTCTGTGAACTTGGCATGTTTTAGGCAGAACTCAAAGTTTCCATAACTGGTCTAGCAACTTTTAGTATCGGTAGTAACAATCAGATAGGGTGGATGGGGTAGGTTCAGGTATCAGCATCATACCCATAAAGCAAAGTATAAAACAAACAACAGTTGTGGGTGCCAGCCAGTTGCGACGTGCGTCGGCTCACATATACCTCTTCCATTATAAAAACATGTATTGATTTGCATGCATAGACACACAGGAAGCTACCTGTGCCAAGCTATTGGACCCTCTCTCTCAGTTCTGTTTGCACTCACTGGTAGTGGCTCTTCACAGTGGCAGTCAAGGGACATTCAGAGCTTTACCTTGCGATTAAACTTGGGACCTTTTGCATGCAAAATAGATGCTCTACTAGTGAGCTACATCTCTTCCCCTTATTCAAAATTAAAATGTCATTTAATTAATTTATACTTATTTTGAATACGGGGAAGAGATGTAGCTCACTAGTAGAGCTTGATATATATACTTGATTCGTTTCACTGGTTTGGGTATCATCCAAAAGAGTAGGGAAATCATAGATCCATTCAAGAAGGCATTTGGTGGGAATCTCCCACAGATATGGAACACATTCCAGAAGAACAGACACATTCGCAGCAAAAGCAACACAGTCCTCTTGCGCCTTAATCAGCCATAGTTATCCATCCACTTATCTGGGAATAAACACCTACTTAGCAAAATGGATTTTATTATTATTATTCATTACGTAGCCATCACCCCAAGGTCCCAGGGCAGGTTACAACAATTTAAAATACAGCATTAAAACAACGAACAATTGCAATATTAGAGTGTGTCCTAAGAATATACTTCTCAGGCTTCAAAGGGGTAAAGAGGTGCACATACATTTATAGGATTGTGCTAATATATTTATTGTGGCATGCACTTTCACAGACTAGATTCTTCTGTGTATTAAAGTATTTAGATAACTTTGGCCACAATGCTAAGCATGCTAAAGGTGTAACAGATTCTATTGAAATTGATGGATCATACTTCAACGTACCATATTTAGGATTGGCATGAAGTATAAGTCCACAAGCCTATACACCCAAATACTTCTCATTCACATACGTTGATGTTTATTCCGTATCTCTCTCTTCTGACCAACAAGCATCTCGCGTACAGTTGGTTACAATTTGCTTTCACAACCATCCTATGAACTGGATTGTCAATTCTCAACCCCCCCCCCCCAATGGTGCTGTAGTGACTATTACAAGATCTAATAAACAAGTCAGGATTCAGCCACTACATCTTTCACTCTTTTCCTCCATCAGTCAGTGCCGGCCCTACCATTAAACAGTGGTTACCTCAGGCGGCAAAAGATGGAGGGCAGTAGCAGCAGCCTGCTTGTCATTTCTCTAGAACCCTCAACTTTTTGTCCCCTTTTCTGGAGTAGAGAACTGTTTCATCACAGGATCTTTTCAGTAGTGGGATTTTTATTTATAGAATATGAACCCACATGAAGGGCTAGGGCTCCTTCATTGGTGACTTTTAAAAAGACTGCCAGTATTTCAACCTGCTCTTTATTACATATGTATTAACTGCTGTGTTTTCAATGATGTTTTTACTGCTGATTTTAAAAGGGTGTAATTGTAGATTTCAAGTTACTTATCTTACATGTTGTGTGGTTGATTTTGTATGCGGCCTTGTGATGAAACTTCTTGTGAGGACACAGATGGGATATAAATGCAATAATAAAGGGTTGTCTCCAGTAACGTACTCCTCATCCCTTGATACAAAAGATGCCTGCTATCTGTACTTTCCAGAAACAATTAAGCACATTTTTGTTTCGACAAGCTGCATTTGTTTCTCTGCATTTGTTGTTCATTTTGCGTAGCTTTTAAAGCATGTATTTTTTTAAAAAAAACCAATATTTTTAGCACTTTTTATGGTGTTTTTGTAAATTGCCTTGAGGCTCATGTAAAATCAATTCATGAATCGATAATAATGATAATAATGGATTTTAAAAATCCATTACTTTCTGTGCCCCGCAGGATTTAGTATCATGGGGGGGGGGGGATGCAATACAATTGCATTTGAAGCTTAACGTCTTTTATCAACCAGTGATAATTAAAGTGATTTTCAAGACATGTGTGCAATGCCCTAAGCTGAGATGAGGCCTGGAACAAATTAATCACTGAGTTATGCAAGTTTGAATAGCACAGTTTTGACTGAACGATTACGGAAAAGGAGCTGTGGCTTATTCCAGTTCCTTAAGTGGCTGTAAGTGTCAGGAGTTACTCCTCTTTATAACATACAGTGGTACCTTGGTTCTCAAACGCCTTGGTTCTCAAATGCCTTGGTTCTCAAATGCCGAAAACCCGGAAGTAAGTGTTCTGGTTTCGAAC